CGTTTCCTCATCTTCGAGGCATTTCTGCATTCCGAGTTAGCAGATAATTGTAGTTTATGAAGGTGATATATCAGACCATAATGACCTGTAATGAAACCCGTTATCAACCTTAAATTACATTTTGAGAATTTAAGAATTACTTTGTAGGAGTACGGTGTTATCAGTGCTTTGCTTTGTCTGAGTCCTGGAAAGTATACCCAGTACTCCAGCCGCATATGATTTTCCAATTCCTTGATAATCTGTTTTGTACTGGCCCAGTTTATTCCACAAATGGGTTGGGGGCCTATAAAAGGGTTGGGGACCTAACTTATATACTTTGTTGTTACAATTATTGCAAATCTCTACGCACATCTACCTTTCTTTACTTTTGCGCAGGCAACCGAACGCACATAAAATATATAAAATATTTCTTTGCAAAAATAGCATTATTTGAAATACTCTCAAATATTTGTTCATTTGATTTTAAAATTCAAAACAAACGATTATGGAGAACAAATCAACTCTCACTCCATTGAAACGAATGCAGCACACATTCCATTCTATCGGACCGTTTACTCTCATTTATTCGTATTCACTTTAGAAATCATTTGTAAATATGGTACAAATTTGAGACTGTAACGAATGACCGCAAAAACAAATGTTTTGATGCAACACTTTAATACATACATACATATGTACATTATATAGTATATGGGAAAATAAGAAAAATGTCAGGAAAAACCCAAAAGTAATAAAATTAATAAAGTAGAAAAAAAAATATGAGTAGCTTTTATTATTAGGAAGTTCTGAAACAAAAACAATAACATGTGCATATGTCCGTGCCTATGACCATAAAATAGAATATGTATATTTCTTTCTTTCAATTTGGTGCTGAAAAGTGATATTTGGGTGCTATGAAATAAAAAAGTAGAGTACAAGGATACAAAATCAAAACAAAATATTTACATTGAGCAAGTGTTCACTATGTTATAGAACGTTGTAGAGAAATGCATTTTGCTCTCTATTTCTTGTAGCACTGCTACCCGAGCCTTCACAGGGTAGCAGTGCTACCTGTGCAATGTGCACATTGAGTAAAAATATTATAGAGTCACAATGACTCAATTATTAAATTTTCAGCAACTGGCACGGGAGGGCGAAGTGAAGATATTCCTTCTTTCTGCGCTGCTGCTAGATCGGCCGCGTTTATGTTTCTTCTTTCTAAAAATTTTACTATTAACGAATGGAGGACAAAAATAAAAGCAGAAAATCGGCTTGCTTGCTTACGTTGGCAGGCCGTACAAGAAGAGAAGTCAAATTAGTTTTTGATGCAATTATTTGTTTTTGCAAATATTTGACAGCACCAATAAAACTATTTCTATTTTATAAAAATTATAACAAACAGATTTCGGTAAACTTGTTACACCCACTGAAGAATTCCTTAATGTCAACTGTAAGCATGTGTCCATATTTAAGAAGATATTTAAACAAAAGTCGGACGCTTTTGAAATTAGAAAAGTAATGAAGGAACACTACATTTTTTCAAGTCCGAGTTGGTTTATTGGGCCCTGCAGACTTCATCGAATTGAATTGCTGGACTTTATTCTGCTTATATTGCTTTGTAAGCATTGCCTATGGATGCTAAAGAATGTAAAATCGACTAAGGCGTAAATTGTTATATGAACTTATATTACAAATTCATTTAATTATACTTTATTTATTATCATAAATACTTACTTTATTCATTTTTTTTTTGTTCAAAATACATAGTTTAAGTGAATTGATTTTAAGATAGTTATTAATATAAAAGTGTAAATATTAATATTTTATTATGTAGAAACTTCCGCTATTTTTTTAAGGTTATCGACAGGATATTAATCAATTTATAATTTTTTGCATCAATATACATTAATATTTTAAACAAAGCAATTTATACATATTAACAATAAAAAATAATGTTTCATATATATATGTATCTGATAACGGCAAGAACTCACAAATGTGTTTTCTTATTGATAAGAACGCTCTATTCCTGAGCGTTATTTGTTGTCGTTCTGTCCATTGGGTCTCGTAGGATTTTAGGTAGGTTTAGGAGTATATTCGGAAAATACCTTTTATGCCGATTGTTTTCTCTCTTCTTTTTTATCATTCTATTTTCCAATTATTTATGTGTGATTATGTATTTCTTTATTATTTATATGTAAAAATTTCTTTTGTCGAAAATATTAATGTATATTAATATAAAAAATATTAGTTGATTTTGATATAGTTGAAATAGAGAACGAATAATAAAAAAAAAAATTTTAAATGGTAAATAAATACACTTTTCTATATTTCTTTTTTAAAAACAAAATTTCGAATACTAGAAAAACAAAAATTGACCTCTACTATAAGCTAAATAACATATCTCTTCGTTAACATGGACTAGGCCTCCTGGAGACACCATGTAAAAAAACGAGCCATGCATTAGCTCAAAGATGGTCTGGAAATCAGTACGCAACTAGTAATATAAAAATTGTCACTTTTATTTAATTAACGATATAGGTCGATCTAGTAACCATAAAGCATATATTTGTTTTACCATTTAATATAACATTTAAATGTTTTACCAATTGTTGATAAATATTTTATATACATATGTACATATGTATTCTTATGATTGTATTACTTACTATAATTTAATATACATTTTATGTAAATGCGATAAAATTGAAAATCCATACGTAACAACAACTAATTAGGAAAACAATTATAATTCTTTCTTTAAATGCCATCATTATGAAAAATTGTTTCAATGTTACAAATACAATTTTAATATCTTTTGCCCTCGAAATTGCATACAAAAATATGTCCATATGTTCATATTTAAACACAAAGTAAGTAGGCATGAATAAATATAAAATAGAGAACTATTCTTTTAACTATTTACATTATAATTCAAGGAAGCAACAACCATACTTCAAAACCAACATTAATAGGAAAAACACATTTATATGTATTGCATTGATGATTGATTTTATTAAAGAGCAAAAAACACAAAAAAGATATATAAAAATTTCTTGAACCTATGAATCAGAGAATATTGCAAAATCTTCTGCAGAGATTTGAGTGATTTGGCTACCCAATAATAGATACCTAGAACAAAAAATCATTTCTATGGCATTGGAACTCTGTAATATTTTTACTGACTGTGTGCGGGTCTACTGGTAGACCCTCCCAGTAGAAAACGGATCGATCCGTCATCGAAGACGTCTTCAAGACATGGATACATACATAAAGACCGATCGATTCAAATGTATGACGGTCTTCGAAGACACTTTCATACAAATTAGCCAAATGTCTTCAATGAATTATTGCGTACAAGTCTCGAAGACCGTCTCGAAGAACATGTCTTGCATAACGGACGCATTCGACAGAAAGTTGTGCGCTCTTAGTGCAGTGCTCATATAATTTTTTCACCCTTTTTTTATTTCTACTCTTTTATTGCACTCTTTAAATTTTAAATGAATTTCAATTTCTTCTTTAAATAAGTAGAAAGAAATTGTTGTATTTTGTACTTTTATTTATTTTATATAATAATTTCTTACATTACATTCAAAATTAAAAGTTTTAAAAGTAAATTATAAATTTTATTATAAATTATTATAAATTTTATTAAGATATTAAAAATAAACTAGTAAAAACTAGTAAACATAGTGAAAATTAATTTAAATAATTAACTTAATATAACTTAATATATCTAAAATTAACTAAAACTAATATAAAATAATTTATAGCATTTCGCTATCATCAATTGTTGAAGTTTTATGTTTTCAAAAGCGTTGAAGAGGATTTTGGTACAATTAAACCTTCTGATCTTAAGAGTTCTAAAATATCATTACCACAACGCCTGTTAATCCTGTGTTTTTTAAATATAACAGCTAATTTTTCACAAGTGTTTTTAGTTTTTTTATTTTCAACATCCTTTGTTTCGTTTCTTAAACAACTTTCACTGGAATTATTGTCTTCAATATTAATATCAATATATTTTCCAGGAACTAAGTCAATATTTCATTTGTTTTGATTTAATTTCTTTTTTTTAATATTTCATAGTTTAATGATTTTGTTTCTTTATTCATTTTGATTTTTTTAATATTTATTTCACAAATGTTTATTTACTACACTTCAAAATTATTGCGTCACTTCATTTATAAAACATAGCGTCATCTGAGGCAAAATTCAAATACGTTGCTATGAACACTAAAATGAGAGAGAAAGCAAAGAAAGAGTATTTACATTCATGTTTTGAACAATTGTTTTGCAAATTTGCTTGAACATGCGGACGCGGTATCAAAGACCGTCTTGAAGACAATGTCTTCGAAGACCACTTTTTCTACTGGGCTTTTTAGGCTTAATTTTCACTCAAGTTCTTAGAGCGGCATTAGTGAGAAAATATGAAGCAAAGATAATATGACGGCATACATGACAATAATATACGTATGATTTCAAATGCGGTATTGTTTTTAATTTTGATTAACTCATAGTAGAAATATGTAGACAAGAAGTTTTTGTTTTTGCATATTTGGAAAATGCACTAATGCCACTTACATAGCAAACTGAAATTTTAGCAGCAAATAATGGCCTATAAAATGGCATAAAGACAATTAAAAAAACCCGTGAATAGTAGAATTGTAAAAAATCAAAAGTTGAGTTTTTTATATTGACTTTGTTATATAACATAATATAATATAATGTGCAAAATTAAATAATATAATAAAATAAAACAGAATTAAACTACAAAAAGCAGAAACCCAAAAAACTGAATTAAAGCTTAAAAAAAATTATAAATAGAAATTATACCTTTTGTAATATACATGTCGTTAACCAATTTTAACAGCGTAATGTAGTTGTGTGTGTGTGTGCTTTAAAATCTTAAAACAAAACTTATTTATTTCTAGTCTACGATCAACTTAGTTATGTAGTTTTTCCTTGATAGTATAATTGGGAATTTGGTTGAATCAGCGATGCATGCGGCTTTATCTAATCTACCTTTCATTCTTAAAACATTCTGTGAATGGTGAAAGTTTTCGCAAAGGGCTACTTTTAGATGGAGTAATATTAGCGTCTCTACTTAATGCGGTCATTTCTTTCTTGTAATTCTGTAACTGGGCTGTTTGGTACAAGAAATTTTCACTCCATTTCAGTTTCTCGACTGACAAGCATTGGTTTACAGATTTCATCTTTTTCATTTCATTAGTTGATAGTAAAAACATAAATCTTTTCACATAGGCCATGCATCGAACTAAACGTTCCCACTCTGAAAATCGGTAGACATCTATGATAGGTTCCTCCTCTGCTACATGAGCCACCAACAATCGTTGCTTTCTGATTTCAGAACCTTCGTTATATTTCTGTACGCCAACATTATTTGGCCAACAAGTTTCTGCTTCATACAGGAACTTCGGTACCTTATACCAAGGGTTTTTCCAAGTAAAGTCTGGATTACTAGTTTGTTTTGTAGCCAAGTCCGCAACATTTAATTTAGTAGGAATGTACCGCCATTGTTCCGCCTCGGACAACTCCAGGATTTCTGCTATGCGGAACATTACAAATTGTTTGTAATCTCGTGGGTCAGATTTTATCCACGATAGAACAGCCTTTGAATCGCTCCAATACGTTATACTGGTCACTTTCAAGTCTATTGACCTTTTGATGTTGTTTCCTAGGCGTGCTCCCAATTCCGCCACGAGTAGTTCCAGTCTTGGAATTGATATTGGTCGTAATGGTGCAACTTTTGCTTTAGAACATATCAAGGAAACATCTATGTTGTTGCGACTCTTCGCTCTTAGGTACACAACCGCTGCATATGCAACCTCACTTGCGTCCACAAAGACATGCAATTCAATGGAGTCTGCATCCTTATTAACCGTAGCGAAGTAACATCTCGGTATCTTCACATTTTTCACACCGCCAAGCAGCAACAGCCATTTGTTCCACTCATCGACTAGCTCATTAGGAATAGTGTCATCCCAGCTAACTCCACTTCGCCAAACTTTTTGAAACAAAATTTTTACGTCAATAATGTAAAAGGTAAGCACCCCTAAAGGGTCGAATATTGACATCATCAATCGTAGCAACTCTCTCTTCGTAGGTAATCTATATCCACTTAGAACATCCTCAGTGGCTTTGGTAAACTTCAGAACAAATGTGAGCATATCAGTGTCGGTTTGCCAATGGATTCCCAATACCTTCTCTACCTCAAATGTGTGGTCTATACGCCTTCCAGCCGAGAAAAATTGAAATTACTGGCCTTGGTGAATATTTCTAACCTCATTGACTAGATTAATCGCTTCCTCCACTGTGTCGACGCTATCCAGCATGTCATCTACATAATGCCTTTTTAAAATACATTTCACTGCTCGCGGCAACTCGGCTTCGTATTCGCGTGCATTGCTATTTTTTACCAGTTGTGTCAACGATGGTGAACATGTTGCCCCAAAACTCATAACTTGTAGCAAATAAACGTCTGGGGGTCTGCTATCGTCACAATTTCTCCACAGGAAGCGTTGTGAATGTTGATCTTCTTCTTTCACGAGTACTCGATGAAACATTTCTTGTATGTCGCCACTTATACCAATTTTTCCGATTCCGAAATTAACAAGAACATCTACCAACGAAGTGAGCAGATCTGGACCTTTCTCCAAACACGCGTTTAACGAGACTCCGTCGTATTGTGCAGCTACATCTCACACTAGTCTTCGCTTTTGTGGTTTATTCGGATTACTGACTGTAAACATAGGTAAGTACCACTTACGTGGATAATACTCCTCGGCTTCGTTAGATTTCAGCTGGCGTATATAACCTTTCGACTTCATGTCGTCGATGTGATCACACACCCAGCTTTGCAACGTTACATTGGATTGCAGCTTGCGCTCAAAGCACTGAAGTTTACGCAGCGCCATTAGGTAATTATCTGGCATAGTAATATTATTTGATTTCCAAAGCAATCTTGCTACAAAGTATTCACCATCTCGACATATTTTTGATTACATACTCTTTTGTTGTTCCAACTCCATATTTTTTAGTTTTTCTCGACTTTCAATAACGTTTTCATTACTTACAAAATCTTTCACTAAACGCTGCAAACTTAGATCATCATCGCATTCACAGATGTGTAAATTTAACGTTTCCCTAATAGTATTAGGTTCGTGCTTAATTATTCCATATATGGTCCACCCGAGTCGAGTTTTTGTTGCAACTGACTCATTCTTACCTCCCTCTCTGAACTTCATTGGCATAGCTACCTCTTTATTGCTTAGGCCGATTATCATTCGAGGCCTAACGTTTTAATACGATTCTACTGGTAGTCCCTTTAAATGTTTATACTTATCGGTAAGTTCTGTCATATTTAAAGATTGCTCGGGTAGCTCCAGCTTAGCTACTGAACGCACATTGCACAACGATTACCTTTTACCTTCTCGTATTTTGGAGACTTGCAGGTTGACCAGCTCAGAATCAGGTTCCTTGCGTACCGTACCATCTGTCCATCGTAAACAAAGATCTTTCGTTTCACCTTTAATCCGCAGTTGTCTTAATACGTCTTTTTCTATCAACGTTGGACCAGATCCGTCATCCAGAAAGGCATAAATGTTGCAGGTAACACCATTTCCATATATTGTTATTGGAACAATTCTGTACAGCGCTTGTGAAGTTAGTTGATGATGAACCGCTAACGTTTCATTTGCCCCACTTGCATTCATATTACATTCATATTACGCGATGCAACAGCCTACTGCAATCGCATTTGCGGTGGTAGTTTTTCTACAAGCTCTTGGATAAGCAACGGGTTCACTAGGTATAGGTATAGGTTGGAGTGGCGACCTTGTATCCCAAAAAGCCAACTTAAGCACAAATAAAGGCCCATTGTGGTACCACAGGAGTTACGTTATTTGTATATAGATTTTAATCAGTATACATTTAACGCCGAAGAAAGGTAACGACTCCCCTATTAGGTAAAGGAAAACCAAACTGACAATTCTATGAACTTGGCTAGGTCCCTAACATCATAGGATGACAACTCAGTCAGGTCAGTTAGAAAAGGAGATCCAAGGATTTTTAGTCTTCTTCTGGCTAGAGAAGGGCACTGACACATGAGATGGAGTACAGTCCTCAGAGCCGCAATCTCGACAAAATTTGTGCCTTCCTATTACGCAGTGTCCCGTTAGCACAGATACCGTAGTGCTGAGCAGGTTCCGTCTTAGTTGAAGTAGCTGACTGGTTCTTTTCTTGTCAAAGTTCGGCCAAGTTAACCTAGAAATCTGACATTGAGGTTCGTCAGCCCAGTATTGCTTGGCTATGCTCAGGTATTTTTGTATGATTGCCAGTTTAACTGTAGCAAGTGGGACGCCTATATCAGAGAGGTTAATGTTAGGGAGAAGAGCACCTACCTTGACTAGGTCGTCTGCCCTACAATTTCCTGTGATATCCCTGTGACCAGGAACCCAAATGAGTTTTACCCTAACAAACCTAGCTAGGTCATTTAGTGAAGCACGGCAGTCTTGAGTTGTGATTGATGTGGCTGAGGTGCCAATCAGTGATCTGATGGCAGCTTGACTATCAGAAAAAATTGAGATTGGTAAATCGGATGTTCGATTGCTTAGAACCCATTTTACAGCTTGGTGAATTGCCATTATTTCGGCTTGAAAGACGCTACAGTGGTTCGGAAGTCGAAGCGAGATGCTGAGACCCAGTCTTTCAGAGAAAATGCCACAGCCGACTCGTTTATCTATTTTGGAGCCGTCCGTGTAAATGTCAACCGTTTGGAGAGAGATCACTCTTTCAAGGATCCAGTCCTCCCTGCTAGGTATAAGAGATTCGAACCCCCTAATTAGGTCTGGGTAACAACACATGTAGTCAATAGAGACGGGAGTTGGCAGATACCCTTGACCAGCAGGAGAGGGAGTTGAGCCTAGTTGCAACTATTTTGGCTTGCTGTTACCAGAAGCCGAGATGGCAGCCAATGAAGCATAGCGAAAAGAGCTTGCGTGGAGCATAGCGAAGAGCACCAGTGATTTGTAGTGCAGCTATCCTCCTAGTTTTGTCAATTAATTTGGTGTGGCATTCTTTTTCAGTTGCCTGCCACCAGAAAGCAGCCTCATACAGAAGAATTGGTTCGATAACAGCTGAATAGAGCCAGAGTATAATGCACGGTTTGAGCCCCCAACTGCGACCTATAGCTCTTCTGCAACAGTAGGTGGCGCATACCGCTTTGCGGGCTCTCTCAGCCAAGTTGTCTTTCCAGCTGAGTTTAGAGTCCAGAATAATACCCAGATATTTGACGTGCGAACTTAAATTTAGAGTAACGCCCTTTATCTTTGGTAAGGAAAATGTCGGTATTTTATATTTCCTGGTGAAGAGAATAACCTCTGTCTTTGCGGGGTTAATATCCAGACCGAATTCCCTACACCATTCAGTTACAATGAGGAGCGCAGAGTTAATAATATTGGATAGAACTTGAGGGAATTTGCCAGATGAGGCAATAGCAATATCGTCCGCATAAGCTATAACACTGTATCCGGATTGTTCCAAAAGTTTTAACAACGAATTAACCGCTATGTTCCATAGAAGAGGAGAGAGAACCCCACCTTGTGGCGTTTCCCGACAGACTGCTCTGGAGGATTGAACACTTCCGATGTCGGATGTGATAATCCTAGTTTTGAGAAGGGCCTCTACAAATTTAACCAGACTATTGTCGAGATTTAACTTTGAGAGGGATTTTATGATACCATTTGGGCAGACATTGTTGAAAACGCCCTCAATATCGAGAAAGGTGGTAAGTGTGTATTCAAGTGGCAAGTGTGAGAGAGATGGAATGGTCAACTTGCGAGATGAGTGCATGAAGCGCAGTATCGACAGACTTGCCTTTAGTATAAGCATGCTGTGATGGAGATAAGAGCGCTGGGTTTATCTTGTTCCTGATATGCAGATCAAGAACTCTCTCCAGTACTTTCAGAAGAAAAGAAGACAGACTGATTGGTCTATAGTCCTTGGCACTGCAGTGAGTTATTTTCCCTGCTTTGGGAATGAATATTACTCGAGCCACTCTTCGGCAGCTTGGGACATACATAAGCTTAATACAGCTATTGTAAATGCTTAGAAGCCAGGGGAGGATTACGAATTCACCCTGTTGAATATCTGCGGGAATAAATCAACATCAGAGGCTATACTCCCTGGGAAGTGCGAGTCCAGAAGGATGTCGAGAGTTTCCTTACTGGAGTTGGTCCATTGACCATTTGGAGCCTGGATACAATCGAGTGTCTTATGGGTGGAATTGAGGATTTTGCGCAGTCGGCTTGACTCGCAAGATGATTCTATGTTGCCACAGAAATTTTTCCAAGCTGCCCTTTTGGCCCGCCTAATGGCGTATTTAAATTCTCTTTGTTTCTCTTTATATGGAACCCAGTTTCCTGTTGCTTTAGCATCATTAAAAAGTTTTCTACAGGTCTTTCGGAGGTCTGCAATGTTTAAGTTCCACCAAGGAGGTTTGGGTTTGCCCCTAAATTCGGGTGGCTTGCAAGCCGCGTTTGTGGCGCATCTAAATGCTGATGTGAGAAGGTCAACCGCTCGATCTATATCGGAACAGTTGAGAATAGTGGGAGGGTCCAACTGTAAGGTGGATTCCAGGTTGGCTCGAAAAATGGGCCATACAGTACGTTTCCTATTTATTGGTTTAGATGATCTGTTCATTTCAGGGTTCTCCACAAAATCTAGATCAAAATTGATGTACCTATGGTCAGAAAAGGAGCAATCTTGCGATACGGACCACTTAGTAATAAAGTAAGAGAAGTGCTCGCTAATCATGGTGATATCGAGAACTTCCCTTCTAATTGAATTCATGAAGGTTGGCTCCCTACCTATGTTAGCGATCACCAAGTTTCCTGCAAGAATGAAATCAAATAGACACTCACCTCTCGCATTAGTATCTGTGCTACCCCACATCTCATGATGTGCGTTGGCGTCAGCTCCTATGATCACCGGGATCGTACTGTTGTTTGCCTCTGACACCAGAAGCTTGAGGGAGTCCTGTGGTGGAGTGGCACCGTGATCGTATGCCATATAACTGAGACAATCCAAAGGGCCTTGGAGTCGTATTCGATGGCCATGGCTACATTGTCATTGTCACTGAACCTAGGGAGTAAAAAGGCATTAATGTTATTTTTTACTAGAATGCAAGATCTTGGTTTACCTTGACCTTCTGTGAATACTAACCGATAACCGTTTGTATTCAGTCCACAAACCCGATTGTTTACAATCCAAGGTTCTTGGATCAGCATTATGTCCTCTCCTTTTTCAGCTAGGCGGAGGGTAAGGGCTGCCGAAGCAGTTTTGGAATGTTGGAGGTTAATTTGGACGACCTTCAACAGCTTAGTTGTTTTTCAACTATGGTACTGTCCAGTTCATCCTCATCCGACATCGGTGAGGTCTCCCGGGAAAGCGCCATACCTGTAAAGAACTCACCGACCAGTTCGGAAGACGAGATTACGCTACCTCCGTCTTCGGAGGAAGGAGTGCCGATTAAATCGGAAGTCCCTACATCGGGGTTGTTTGGAACGGAGATGGAACCGATTCCGTCATCGGAGATCGTTTCCGAAGGTGCCCCCCCAGAGGGTTGTTGTTTAGCGGCTTGAGAGTCACTTTTGTAGACACGTAGGGTGACCGACTCGAAGCCATAGTGAATCACCCCATTTCGGGCTTGAAGGGGTGCCAAAGATTGTTCGTTAAGAACTACGACGGCCTCGACGAAGTCACCCTTGGGGTGACTGACCTTCGCAACTTTCCAGTTATGCGTGGGGAGGTTAGTGTTACTGGCCCTTAAAAGGGAAAGAATTTCCTCAGGGGAAGTAAGCTCCGAAGGAGGCCACACTTTGGAGCGGGGGCGTTGTGGGATATTTTCCACCGAAACAGCTCTGAGCTGTGCGCCGGGCCAGAGTTCCCCAATCTTTTCGATCGCCTGCTTATAAAGATCCGCGAAGCGCTGGACTGAGCAGCCAATAATTTTAATATGACCCTGGTACCATCCAGCGTCTTTACAGCTAGGAGATGGCCCAGGGTTGAGGGCAAAAATTTCCATATATATTTTGAGGAGAGCCCGTTCGACTTTCTTCCAATTTGCTGGAGAGATGGTGCCATCACTATTGCCAGCGTCGATGATGGCCCAGGTCAGGCTCTCTTTGACTATTTCGCTGAGAGGTTTTGACAAAGATGGGGGTCTTGGAGGACCAAATTTGGGGCGCTTAGGAGCGCTTGACAAAATTGATTTACCGGCCTGCTCAATCGACCTTTGTCGTTTCTGAGCAGGTGCAGAGGTAGAAGCGATGTCAGAGGGCCGGAGGTTGACATTTTCCCTTGCCCACTTTAGTGATGCCTTATTGCTTTCTGAGAACGAGGAAGGATCCGCGGCATTGAGCCTAGAGAGGATGCGGTATGCTGACCTTCGCGCCCTATACGCCCTTGTCGAGGGGTTAGGGTGAGAACGTGTACCAGAAGTTGAGTTGGTACTAATTGCAGATGATGCGGCGTATTAGCTTTGACCGCAGCACTAGCAGAGGAGCAGGAGGCAG